AATAAAAATGATTAAAAAATAAAATAATATCTTAGCATGTTCAACTGAGAGAGAGAGAGAGAGAGAGAGAGAGAGAGAGAGAGACAGACAGACAGACAGACAGACAGACAGACAGAGACAGAGAAGCAGACAAAATAAATTTGGCCAGATCTTCCTGAGTTGTAGATTGAAGTGGCAGGATGCCAAAATAGCCAGCATGGCTCTATTTACCAACAGATTTCCTAGGCTTTATCTATTTCAATAATCAAGCAGGAATAAACAAATAAAGAAACAATTACTGGTCAAAAAGAAATAATTCCTTGAAGGCAGGAGACAGGAAAAGGGGTGTTGAGGGACTGTCCTGATACAATGCTGTATATGGTAAGATTTCTAAACTTCTGTGTAAAAATAGGTAATTGTTTATTCCTCTTTTTTAAAAGATTTTTTTATCTTTTCATCACACTCTGTAGGGACTTAAAGTTTAACATACCAATACTTGATGAAAAATATCTGTTCCATGTTATGCCTAAGATGTTTGATACTCAGTGAGGGTAAGTTCAACAGCCTAGGTTGTAGGATAATAACAATAAGCTTCTCTTCTGAAGGGTTAACAACCTAAGTTTAAAGACCAAAATTTAGAGAAAAAGGAAGACTTCAAGGGCAGCCAATATTTTGGCCCAGCCTTTCAAGGTCAATGAAGATTCAGGACATAGGAGAACCTGTACTATATCATGTAACTCAGTTGTGTCCCAAATTTTCTATTCAAGGAGATCATGGGGCCACAGAGGAAAGTTATCGATGATGTAGAGTATGCCTAAGGGTAGTCACATGTAGAGAAACATTCTCTCAGCCTTTCAGAGAAAGAAATTTGATCAAGCAATGGGCATGACTCTTCTAGATGGCTGACACTTACAAAAGATCTAAAAACTGCTGTATACAGTTTTAGGGTAAATCCTCAGCGGATTTGAATGACTTTGTCAGATACAAAAGCTACATTTTTAGTTATATAGGTCTTGCTTTAACTTGGTCTTAACCATGCAGCAGAAAAGTATAACCACGAGGTACAAAAAGCAAAGCCATAGTAATATGCTGAGCAGTAAAAGGCTCAAGTCAACAATTTCTGACCTTGTCAGTCCGACTGATAACCCACTACTATTATGGACTATTGGAGTATTTTGGAATATTTGCTGAATTCACACACCTATAATATTTAAGTGTCAAAACTAAACAAATAAGGGGATACAAATTAGTGACCATCTTGTATCTGTATATTAATAATAGGATAGATATACAGCTACATTCTCTTAATTCAATAAATAGAAAGATTTGTTTTAATAGTGTTGTAAACAGGATATTATGTCTGCATCTTGTACAATGAATAAACAATGAGACAAGAATATGCAATATATTAATTATTGAAACTGTCCTAATCAGATTTGATACTATCTCTTTGCTATTTGTTCTCAAAAAAATATGGAAAAAATAAAAATAATAAAATAGTTTTTCTAATCTCTTATAAATTAAAAAATAAAAAGTAATCCTAAGAAAAAAAGAAATAATTCCTTAAATGCCTTTATATTGCTGCTACTGATGTGGAAATATAGAGAGAGGGAGAAAACTTCACCAGTCACCACATCTCCTTTCTTATGAAATTTTTTTTCATGTTGTGAAAGCAAGTATCATGACTTCACATAATAGACCTCACTAAGAGAAAAGATTTTAGAAAAAGAAAGAGAGCAATCTTTCTCTTTCCCTCAAAGGGAAACATCTTGGATGTGACCCCTGGGCTGTCTGTGGAAAGTTAGTACTTGCAGTTTCAGCCAGAAAGTAAATATGTTACCATTGTGACCTTGAATAAGCATTTCAACTCCCCCTCCCACACTCCTCTGGCGAAATAGCACATTCTGCCTGTGGCTACGCATCTGTGGACCTATGTTCAGGTTAAAAACAGGATAGAAATCATGTTTGATGATCAGCCTTCCAACCCCCATGGACCATGATTTCATAAATACCTACTGATAGCCAGGCCCCAGAGGTCACCTCCTCTCAGACGGATTGCATCAGAAGACTTTATCAATAATCTATTTGCATGAAAGCCATGTGGGGTGATGCAAATGGGTTGCAATGCAGGATTTAATGTAAGGTACTTTGGGAAATGGTCCCTGGAGTCCAGGGTCAGAAAGAACATTTGAGCATCATTCCTTCCCCTCAAGAGCTCAAGATAAGTACATGCAGCCTCACACTCCCATGTATAAGTTGAGTCAGAAATTCCTTGTACCAGCCATATGAGTCTGCATTTTAATCACAGGCGCTAAAACCCTGGTAGCCGCATGTGCTGGACTTTGCAGGGAGAGCCTGGAACTACATTGGATTGAGAAAATCCATATCAGTAACTCAGTGACAATGAAAAAACTCACATGACATCTTCTCAGTCATAAGGTTGAAATTCTTTCTCTGTTCTTAAATTCTTTTAGTGGTGCTGTTCTCACAGGTGTTTATATTTCAAGACCCATTTCTATACCTACACACTGCAATTGATTTGCGTGATCCATGTTATTTAAGCTTTTATGAGAAAAGTGTATAAGGAGGGCATTTATTCTCTTTCCTAGAAGGTATCAGGGAAAAAATAAAGTTTATGAAAACTTCTGTATTTCCTGCCAACCAAATATTGTGAACAACTGTCCCACAGAGAGGCCATTTGTGACCTGTAGCTCGAGGACCATCCTGGAAGGGAACGTAATGCTGTAATATTGGACAAAAGCTATTTTCTATTTATTAAAATGTGGATAAAGTCCAATGAAAAATTTAATCCTCATGTGAAGTGTGGATTTTATTAATATAAATGTATAAATATCAGTTTATCAAATGCTACATATAAATGATAGGTATAAAGTCCTTGCGGAACAGATGAGGGGAAAGAAAGAATTCTAAATATTTCTCTTATTTCTGGACAAGCTATTGCTGTTCTTGAGATAATGTCTATTAATTTTAAGAAAAGTGTATTTCTCAAATATGTAGTCGGTGCCCCTACTGATCATGTGGTGTATCAAAACAAAGGTGGTCTTAGCATAAAATACAAAATGAGGTACAAATTTTAGCATAAAAATTAATATTTCATCTGAGTGTGTTGGTGCATGCCTGCAAAGCCAGGACTTAGCAAGAGGGACAAGCAGGATCACTTCAAGTGCGATGCCAGTTTGGGATATATAATAAAGGCCAGTCTAAACTACACAGAGAGATTTTGTCTTGAAAGAGAGAGAGGGAGGGAGACGGAGACAGAGACAGAGACAGAGACATGAATAGGAAGAAAGAGACAGAGAGAGAAAAAAGAAAAACAATCAAAGATTTAAATCTCCATAATGAAATTTACATTTTGTAAATATTAAGATGATGCATTGAGGGGGCCTGCACCTTAGTTCAGTTCTTTAAGTGGCTGCTTCAACAAAGCAGTCAGGCTCAGGTGGCTATGGTTCGATCCCCACAACTCAAGCCAGCCAAACCTGCCCTGAAGGCATTTGGAGAAAAAAATAAGATGATGCATTGAATCTACTTGGTTGGCCATGCACATATAATTAAGTTAGCAACTGTACAAAAATCAGATCAATTTAAGAGATGTGTCTGCATCACATTGCACTTACTTCTCCGACGGGACTGTGCAGATTGATCTGAAGTACTGATGCCTGGACGAGCTTCCATGTGTATTTAACTGCATATTGAAAGATGTACACACTGCACTCACCACACACGCGCGCACACACACACACACACACACACACACACATGGCGTAGGTGATTGGGGCTCTATAAAGTTTGAGAATACCACACAAGTAAAAACCTCTCAAAATCAAACTCATCTTTTCTAACTTGGGGCCAGAGTATTTTAATGAAAGAAACATGTCTCCAAGCATCTCGAGGCCTGTAGCACTGCAACTTAAAGTGATCATATTTGCAAATAGCATTCATTGTTGTACCATGTTCAGGCCATTGAGCAGGCCCAAATCCAGTCTGAATGGTGTGTTAACTAGAAAAGGATAAAAAAGGAGATGGCAGTGACAGTGACAAGACGGATGTAGCTCCATTCAAAGACTAACAGCCCAAGCTAAAAGGCAAGGAGCTAGAGAAAACTAGATTTCAAATTCCTAGAGTCCAGTACTCAGACAAAATATAACTCTGGTTTTCAGCTGCACATTTATTTATTTATTTATTCATTCAGTTTTAGTTTTTTAGGGGCCAGAAAGATAGCTCAGTAAAGTAAGTGCTTGCCTGGCAATCCACAGTTCTGCCACAAAAAATAAAAAATAAAAAAAAATATTTTTAGGATTTTTTTTGTGGCCAGCTCAGCCCACCCTGGGAGCAGGGATGACTTGGCATGTGGTGACAGGGATCAGGGATCAAATTACTATCCTTTCGCTTGCCTATAACTGGTGCTTTATACTGCTGAGCTGTCTCAACATCCAAGCCACACAGTTTTTGAAATTTTGTTGAAGCTCCAATATTAACAGCTGAAAAGAAATCAGATATAGATATCAGTGCTCATGTAACACGAAAGGCAGACAACACAAGTAGGTCATTAAATATTCTTTCCCTCCTTGGTAAACGTTTTCCCCAAATATATGCAATTTATACAGAATGATGGCCTTGGCTCTCCAGACACAATTTGAAAGTGACGTGGCTAAACAGATGTTTATTGCTCTTGAAAATACAGATAAATTTCCATTTTTTTTCACTTTTTTATGTATCGTACATGATACTTATTTTATTTCAGATGCTGACCATTTGTTGCTATCATGCATAATAATAGCCTAGTGCACATATTGACTGTGTGATTTGACTTCCAGGAGTCCCCATCATTCTCCAATATAGCATAGGAAAATGGGCAGAATTTCTGCTGAATCTTCTTATTTAGGGCACAAAATAATCTGAACACTATACTTCATCAATACATGTACAGACCCTGGAATTAATGTGTATAGTCTCTCCCTCTATGTAAACTCTTCTTGTCTTTATTCACATCCTTATAGGAAGCAGGGGACATGTACGTGAACTGGAATTTTCTAAATAAGGAGCACATAATTGTACCACCCACTGAAGGCATAGCAGATTCACCAAGGACAAGAGCTCTGTCTCCTCAAGATGCAGAAGAAGAGGCCCCAGCGTGCCTTCTGTTCAATCTGGGGGATGTGGGTGGAAGGAAATAGATATGGTCTTCAATGGTGTTGGCCAAGGAGGGGACTCTTCCCAGGTTTACCTCCAGATAATGTTACAGGGAGTGAAAAAGAGTATTCTTGTCAAACATTCTCCTGTGTTGTTTAAAGTGTCTTTGCATATTGAAGAATACTATTTACAAAAGTAAACACTTACTGAGTAAATTCTTGTATTGTTACCACTACATATTATAGTATACCTAAGGAATTATGACTTCAATTTACCTTTTAAAAATATTTTTTATCTTTTTTGCCATGATAATTTTTGTAATTTAAAGAGAATATAAAAACATTAAAATGTCACACAATTTTAGAAGAATATGATAGGAAGTCAACAATGGTTGTTATATTTCCTATTGTTGTCATCTATTTAGTTGTTCAGATTAACAGATACAAGCATGTAAAATAGGTCAAAAATAAAAACAAACAAGCATTAAATGTTTCCTTCAATAAGCCAATACAAATTAGTAGGAAACAGCATTATCCCGAATTTTCTATTCAAGGAGATTATGGGGCCACAGAGGAAGTTGATCAATGATATAGAGTGTGCCTAAGGAGAGTCATCTAGAGAGAAAACATTCTCTCAGGCTTTCCTTTTTTTTTTTCTTTTCTTTTTTTTTTTTTTTTTGTATGGAACTGGGGGATTAAACTCAGGCCCTTGCGCTTGACAAGGAAGCGCTTATTCCACTGAGCCATCTCCTCAGCTCCACTGAGCCAACTCCCCAGCCCCACTGAGCCATCTCCCCAGCCCCACTGAGCCATCTCCCCAGCCCCTCAGGCTTTCACAGAGAGAAAATTGATCAAGCAATGGCCATGACTCATCTAGATGGCTGACACTGACAAAAAGATCTAAAAACTGCTGTATAAGCTTTCAGGGTAAATCCTGAGAGGATTTGACTGACTTTGTCAGATACAAAAGTTACATTTTTAGTTATACAGGCCTTGCTTTAACTTAGTCTTAACCATCCAGCAGAAAACTATAACCACAAGGTACAAAAAGCAAAGCCATTGTAATATGCTGAGATGTAAAAGGCTCAAGTCAACTAGTTCTGATATTGCCAGTCCTATGGATAATCTACTTCTATTATGGACTATTGGACTATTTGTGTTATTTTGCTGAATTCAAGCACCTGTAATATTTTAATGGCAATGTAACACCCATCTCTGACAAACAAAACAAAAAAGGAGGATATAAATGAAGGAGCCTTTTGTAGTGAAAAAAATATATGTATGTATATAAAAAGTAGTTAAGATAGATATATAGCTTATTTCTCTTAGTTCAATGAAAAGAAAGATTTGTACTAATAGTGTTTGGGCAAGATATCATGTCTGCATCTTATACTCTGAATAACTATTATGAAGACAACAATGTGCAATGTATTGTTTATTGTAACTGTCCCACTAACCTGTTTTGAAACTGTCTCATTGTGATTTATTTCTCATTACAATTAATTGAAAAAAGAAATTACTAGTAGAACAGTTATCATTATATATATATTTCCTTCATTTTTTCATTTTTTCTTTCCCTATCCCAGTTCATTTGTTTGAACTTTTCTTTCCCTTTAACAATATCTATTGCATCTTTCTTACTTTATTTACTTGTACAGGTCCTTACACTAGGTAAACAATGTTTTCACAGGGGAGAATGATTTATTTCACTTATGAGTATCATTTCTAGGTGCAACCATTTCTCTATAAAAGTCTCAAGTTTATCCTTTAGAACTGAGTAAAAATCCACTGCATGAAAGTACCATAACATTTCTATTCATTCTTCAGTTGATGAGTATTTGTGTTGTTTCCAAGATTTAGCTATAACAAATTGCACTGCTATAAACATGGGTGCACACATATCACTGTGGTATGAGGTTTTCAATTCTTCTAGAAAAATATGCAGGAGGGTATATGTAGGTTGAATGGGAGTTCTAATCCTACTTTTCCAAGTAATCTCCACATGATTTCTACAGTGTTTGTACCAGTCTACATGCCCACCAACAGTAGAAAAGGATTAATTTCACTCCACAGTCCCATTACTATTTGTTCTTGGTTGATTTCTGGATAATAGCCACTCTTTCTGGGATAAGATGGAATCTCAAGCTTGTTTTAATTTACATTTCTCAAATGAAAAATGATGTTGAACCTTTTCATGTATTTACTTGCCATTTGTATTTCTTTATCTGAGAAGCATGTATTCATCGAAGATGCCCATTTCTTTATTGGGTCTCTGAATTTTTGGGTCATGATTTTTTTATTTCTTTATATATTCTACATAAAAATCATTTGTCTGAGGGATGGATGGCTAATTTTTTATCACCAATTTGTAATTTGTTTTCTGTTGGTGTTTCCTATCGATGGGCAAAATTTTTCAATGAGATGAGATCCCAGATGTTGATTCTTTGAACTATTCACTGTGCAATTGGTTTTTGTTCATGAACTCTCTGCCTACCTCATGTCCTCAGAATTTTTATTTACATTCTCTTCCAGTAGATTTAGTGTTTGTGTTTTAACATTTAGATCTTTGATCAATTTTTACTTTAGTGCAGTGCATGGTGATAAACTTGGGCCCATTTTTAATCTTTGACACATGAAGAACCAATTTCTTTATTTCTATTTATTAAAGGGGATACCTTACTTCCAGTGAGCATGTTGGACCCTTGACAAAAGAAAAGGTGGTGGAGTGTGTTTGTAGTTGTGTCTGAACCTCCTAATTTGTACCATTGATTCATAGGTCTGTTTTTTTTTTTCTGTCAGCACCATGCTGATTTCATCACAGTAGCTTTGTAGTATAATTTCAAGTCAGGGGTAGAGATACCTCCTGCCTTGGCTTTGTTGTAAGTGATTGCTTTTGTTATAATTGGTCTGTTCTGGTTGCACATGAATTTTATGAATTTTGTTTTAGTATCTGGAATCAAACTCAGGACTGTGAGCTTGCCAAGCTGGTGCTTAGCCACTGAGCTATACCCCCAGCCCTAATAATATTTTCTCTAGATCTGGGAGGTATACTAATGGTATGCTGATCAGGATCGCATTGAGTCTGTGTAACAGTTTTGAATGTATGACTATTTTCACAATGTTGGTTCATCCTATCCATGACTAAGGAATATCTTTACATTTTTTTCTAGTTAATATATTTGTGAAAATGTTGTATCAAAGGCTCACATTGCAATTGTGATAGTGCTTATTTTATTTTTCCTGTCTGTTAAAATTTGTCTTATACAGATGAGTGCTTCTGCCTTTGGTTCATCTGTACTTATGATCGTTATGTGTCCCTGCGGATGTATTCCCATAACAAGGATGTAGTGATCTTCTTCATCTCTTTTCATCATTCTTGGCTTCAAGCTCACATTGTTCACAAACAACATAGCTCCCCCTGCTTTTCGCTGGGTTCCTGTGGCATGTAGTAGTTTTTTTCCATCCTTTGACTTTTAATCTGTGAATTTACTTTTGAATTAAATGTTTTTCTTACATACAGTATTTTCGGATTTTGTTTATTATCTGTTCTGCCACTCTGTTTCTGTTGGCTGATGAAGAGAAAACATTGACATTAATGGTTATCACTTACATGTATTATCTTTGACACATTATTTTCTTCTTGTTGGTTCCCTACTTTTTGCCTCTGTTTAATAGTTTGTACTGCTTGATGGCTCCTTTCTTCTGTTATTCATAGATTTGTGCTCATTTTTATCTCTAGAATATCTGTCAGTACTCTTTGTAGAGTTGGTTGGTTGTCATGAGTTTCTTTCTTCTGGAATTACTTTTCCATAATTTTGATTGAAAGTTTTTCAGGGTGCATCGTTATTTGTTGGAAGTTGTTTCTTATTCAGATCTGAAATACATCACTGCAAGCTCCCCTTGACTTACTTGTTTTTGTTGAGATATCTTCCATGATTCTGATGGAATTTCCTCTACAGGCGATCTACTTCTTTTCTCTGACACCTTTTTTAAAATGTATTTGGTGCAGGGTCTCACTACACAACTCAGACTCATAGTGAGCCCCCTGTTTTCAACTTCCCCAGAAGTGAGGCTGCAGGTGTGTGCCACCACGCCCAGTCTAGTAGCTGGCTCAGTGCACACGAAGGTGTCCTGTACAGCATGTAGTGCTGGGGATTGAAACTAGCTCCCTGTACTTGCCTAAACAGGCACTTATTCTGCTGAGCTATCTCACTGGCCTTCTCTACCAGCTTATAGTATTGTGTTCTCTTGCTGAATTTCTTGGGCCTTGATTATTATATAACTGGGTATATGTATATTTTGGTTATGGATAATTGGAGTTCTATATGCCTCAGTTATGGCAGGTCAGACTGTTTTCCTATGCTTCAGACATCTTTTGATACTCTTTCTCCAAATAGCCTTTATGTAGTTCGTGTCGATTCCTTTTTGTTGTCACCTGTCTTACATCGTTTTGCTTTGCATCATCGTTCAGCTGTTGGATATTTATTTCCTGGTTCCTCATTAAGTTTAAGAAATCTTTTCTTTTGCTATCACTAGCTGCATTTCTGTCATCCAGGTCTGAACATCTATCTTCAGTTTCATTCAAGCAGTTGTGTCAGATCTCAATGGAATTTTTAACTTTCTGGATATTTCTTTAAATATGATTTTTGTGTTCTAATTTTCCCTATACTGATCATTGAAGGTTTCCATCATTTTTCTGTGTTCCTCTGTTTTTTAGCTACATCTTCTCTAGATATGCTAAGCAATTATTTTTCTATTATCATTTCATGTTTACCTGACAGATTATTTCTGATCTGATATTTTCTATAGATTTATGGAGCTATTATTCCTTTATTTCATTTGCTATCATTTCTGAAATTTCATTTACATAACCTTCAAGTTCTTCTATGTTGCTGTCTCCTGGACTTGGTTGGGGTGGGCTGGATGTCTGAGATTTCATTTTCCTCCTTTGTTTTGTTATTTATGTTTAAAATCTTTTTCTTCTGTTTTCTCTGGTGATGCCTGTGAGTATTGGTAGTAGGTAGCTATATCACGAATTTCACAGCTTCTCCAGGAATAGTCTGCACTTAAGGAAAATAAGTTGAAATATATTGGATCAGGACCTATCATAATAATCCTATTTAAAAAAACAAGAAAAAAACTAGTAAAAGTAAAATCTTTAGAAACTACATAGAATTTCATTAAAAATGATAATTCAACAATGGTAGTTATATTGTATAAGATTGGCTTCAAATTAGTTGTTTAGATTAACAAATATAAACATTCATAATTGGTTAAAAATTAAAAAGAAAAAAATGTAAACATTAATCATTCCCTTTAATAGGTCAGTAGTCAACAGCAATGCAACTATCTAAGCTATCCTGTGTATAGACGTATATTTTTCCTTTCATTACTTTTTCTTTTCACCCTTACTTTATCTCAGTTATTCCTTCCCTTTGAATACTTTATTTTCCTTTCACAGTATCTATTGTACCCTTTGGATTTTATTTACTCTTTCAGGTTCTTGCACTAGGAAGACAATATGATGGTTGCACATGAAATTATGATTTATTTCACCTATCACTATAGTCTCTAGTTGCATCCATTTACCCATAAAAGCTTTGAGTTTGTCTATTTTTATAGCTAAGAAGTATTCCATTATATAAAAATGCCACATCTTTTTTAGCCATTCCTCAGTTAATGGGCATTTAGGTTGTTTGCAAGATTTAAGTATGGTAAATTGTGCTGCAATAAATGCGGGTGTATGTATATTACTGTGACATGATATTTTCAGTTATTCTGGGAAAGTACGCAGGAGGGGAGTATCTGGATTGAATGGAACCTCTAATCCTTATATTTTGAGGAATCTCCATACTGATTTCACAGTAACCTCTTCTTAATTTCTAAAACCATCCTATTTATTTTGTTACATCACATTCACAAGCACTAGACTTGAGGCTCCTCCACTGCACTTGAAACACAATTCAATAAAGATAATAGTCTAACCCAAGTTAGAGAAGAAAGCTTGAGTTTGGAAACTCATGTATTTAGGTGAAAAATTCAATATTCTCAAATATGTTTATGTTCTATTGCATACAATTTTGAAATATCCAGGTTAATGAATACATAAACATTTTCATCTAAAAATGTCTTTGTATAATTTTTTAAACTCATTTGATTCACCATATTATTTTTTATATAATTACTTTAGCTAGTTTTCTCCCATTGATAAGACAAAAGGTACCCAACACCCAATGATAAAGTAGTACAGTTTTATTTCTTTCATAGTTTGTAGAGGTTTTCTTTCATAATCATCTGTCTCCCAAGCCAGCTGATAGCAGAAGGCAAAAATTAATGGTGGTGGAAAACAGCAAAAGCAAGAAAGCCAAAGGGTCATCATGCCTCTTTCTGTCCTTTATGTTGTAGTCACACACCTCCAACCAGGTCAGCTGTAGTGTTCACAAGCTCTCCATGCACCGCTCTTGCACAGACTCAAGAAGCTTACAAAATGAGGATCCTGGATGCCTCCTGAGTCACTTAGCTAAACTAACCTTCTCAGGTTGACACACAATGAATCAATCATTGCATCTTTGGCACTAAAGGAATGTGCTAGGGCATGTTCTCTACAACTCAGGATATAGAACTCCGGAGGTACCTATTAAGATTATAAACTTCCCAAATTGACACAATGTATGAAGTATTACAGTTATTATACAAATATTAAAATTTCATGATATCTTAGAATTTTTTCACACTCTTTGAAGATTTTGCACTTACAGCCCAACTTTATTTTGACTAGCTGAGTTTCAAATGTTAGTGAGGACATTAGGCCAACACCTTACAAATTGGAAAATAAACTTTTTCTCAAAGTATTCATACTTTAATATTAAAAGTTTATCCTGATAAAAAGAAACATTTCTTTTCATCTTTAATCACCTATAAATAACACATCAACTTATGAACAAATACTAAGACATAGATAATAAAGTCTAAGTTTACATTGAGGCTCATCCTTTGTGCTGGTTATTTAGATTTTGACATATCCAAGAAGGCATGCATTCAACTAATAAATTATTACTTAGAATAATCTATCTACAGTGAAAATTCGGCTGAGTTTTGGGGCTATAAATGTTGCCTCCACTTCCCTACTTCTCAAAAATTTGAGTGAAGGGAAATACAGGAATCTTTTTCAGCTTTGCTCCTTGGCTTCAAAGTAAGGGACAAAGAGAAATATGTCACACAGATTCCTGTTCTCATAAAAGCCTAAATCATGGTAGAATTCAAGGATGTAGGGATAGAAATGAATTCTTACAGTATATTAAATCATGGAATGAAGGTACTTGAAAGGAACAAGCAGTGAGGATGTACGCTAAATCGCACAACTCAGAAGTGCCTTGCTTTTCAGCACGGATCGTTGGTCGCTAATTTTGATTTCCTGGCTATAGTGTAATTTGTACCCCAGGCAACAGAAAGCAGGTGTGGGTATGAGTTTCAGAGCACATAACTGGTACATGGAGAATACAGATATACAGGGACTGTTCTGTGGCTGCAACTCATGGGGCTGCCTTCTTTTGGAAGAATAATGCCCAGTATTTCTTGATTGAGATTGTGGCTTTTCAGACTATTTCAAAAGAATCCTAAGATTAAGTGCCCTAGTACAAACTATTAGCAACTCCACTAAAGGCATCTATGCCAGTGGACAAAGACTTGGGAACAAATCTGCCCAGGCGGAGGTGGCCCCTGGGATGTAGCTAATTTTATTGATAAACAGATAGCAATGAGACAGTTTCAAATCAAATCGGAAGTACAGATTCAAAAAATAACACACTGCATATATTCTTCTTAGTGGTTAATTGCCGTACAAGATGCGGACTTGAGATCCTATTTACAAACACCATTAGAATAAATCATTCTATTCATTAAGAGAATGCAACTATATATCTATTCTAACCATTTTGAATACCCAGATACAAAATGGACATTCATCTGTATACCCCATTTTTTCTAAGTTCCGTTATTGAATATTATAGGTGTGTAAACTCATCAAAATATTCTAAAAGAGTCCAACCATGCCTTTCTTAAAAGTCAACAGTAAAACCTATATTAATTTATAAAACCAGATGCCATTAAAAAATGTGCAGAGTTAGTCTTCATTTGATTCTGCAAACTCTGCAGATATTGAGCTTATTTTGCTGGTAGATGCTATGGAAACTGTCAGATAAAAAAATCGAAGTTGTTGGTTTTAGATGCTTTGATTCCATGATTGGTGGTTTTTCCTAACCCAATTGCATACCTTATTTAAATAGCTTTACATATAATATTCTTTTCTGGAAACTGACATTTCTGGAGCATAGTAACATTTTCGTCCTCAGACATCCACATGCTCTGATTTATTAGATAGCAGCGTTAAAGTTCCTTGAGATAAATGGGATTGAATATGCTTAGCAACTCCCCCACCCATGTTTTCTGTCTTTATCCTGCAGCCCTGTTCACATAGGATGGTCTCTCTCTCTTTTAGCTGCATTCCTTTCTGAAGTACATTCAATTCAACAATCCTGCTGGAGACCAGGTGAACTTGGATTAGAGAAGGAAACTGGATTCAGAGTATGACCTTCTCAATTTTTGGAATTTTCCAGAAGGCCTTAGATTGAAGGTTAAACTAGGCACATTTTCTCCACATGCTCCCAATGGCCAAAAACTGACTTTATCTGAGTATATGATAGAGTGGGCCACAGAAGTTACACAGGTGTGTTGCTCCTAATCACAGTACTGACTAACCACAAGTAAGCAAAACCCCATCATAGTAGGCTTTGGGTCCCTAATTTTGCTCATGCAATGATCACATGTGGAAATTAAATCAGTGTTCAATTCGAAAAAAAAATCATGAGCTTTAATATGATTGGGAAAGAAGTGCACTCAATTATATTTTTGCAAATATGTGTATCATACTGTTCAAAAATTAGGAATCTGACTACTTACTTTTGCTTATATATGCATACAAATTAAGTTTATCCCTCTAGCTCTCAAGAAGTAAGTACAGTTCTAACAAGTTACCACCATTTACTTTTTCCTTAGATTCGCCACTCAGTGTGCAGTGAGAGTTGCACTCCTGGATTTAGAAAAAGCCCTCAGAAGGGAAAGGCTGCCTGCTGTTTCGATTGCACCCCTTGTGCAGACAACGAGATCACCAATGACACAGGTAGGAGAGCGTCCTGGGGACACAGTCTCACTCTATGTTTTGTTCATTCCTTCCATCCAGGAAATGGGAAAAGCTTTGTAGATGACACTGATGGTAAAATTATTTGTTATGCTGAGTGTTACTGTCTGGTTGGAAAACACACTTTTCCCTTTGAAACATACACTCAAATTCCATTTCTTTTTATCCCCTTCTTATTTATCAGTTTTCTTTTTTGCATTGACAAAAATTGAAGCAAGATGTCTTTCAATGGTCTATGTCTCCAGCTATTCTTTTTTTTATTATTTTGAAACAGAATATCAGGTTTGCCTAAGAAAACCTCAAAACTTCAATAAGACAGTCTCAGCCCTTTAATTTTCAAGAATAACATTTGTGCACCACTACATATGCCTACACTGACTTTTCAAGTCCCATTAAAAGCATTATTTACTCAAGCTCAGCCCTTTTTCCTATCCTACAGCTTCTAAGTTCCGTTGCTGTCATGAAACTTAACAGGCAGTAGCTTTAACAAAAATTCATTACAGTATTTTTTTTTCAATTAAAGTAAGACTACAGTAAAGACAAGTTCAGGCACACTTTGTTCCCCAGGGACTGACACTATTCTTCACACAGAGCATGTGCTCAGAGACTGAGTTTGATTGGATATATGAGGATGCTTTTTATGTACAACATGTTTGTAACACAGCACAGTAAAATTTCTGGGATTTAATCTCGATCCTCCTAGAATGCACAGGTGAATGAGAAAGACATCCTATGGAATGAGTTGGAGTCTATACCATAGAACTGCAAGAATGTTTTGCACGCAGAATATGAGGTTTAACAAGTGATAATACCTACATTTCTGGATGGCATCATGTGTATTTTTACAGAGGTGATAGCTTAGCATTATATCAGAATAAAAGGAAGTGACATAACACTTATTTGAATTAATAGAAATGGTCATAATAGCACATTCCCTATTCTTGTAAAATTCAAATATTCTGAAAGAAAATACATATTTTTATTAAATAAAAAGATAAAATGAGAATGAGGATTAAAACATATTCCTTAAAATTTATAGCACATTCCCTATTCTTGTAAAATTCAAATATTCTGAAAGAAAATACATATTTTTATTAAATAAACAGATAAAATGAGAATGAGGATTAAAACATATTCCTTAAAATTTATAGTAACCAAATGCTAATGACCATTGCATAGTGCAGTTATATTCCTATTGAATAATTTCTAACTTGGTTGTGGCTGACATAAATTTTGATTTCAGAACATATTCAGTAACATTTCAAATGCTCTCTGAAATACAACAAAACTTGTTATGTATTATGTCATGTAATTTAAATATACATTCTCAAAAATATAAGAATATGTTAATTTTTAAGTAATGTATGTGCACACATAGATAATAATGGCCCTACTAATACAGTTAATACATTCTCCTGGTATGTGTAATTCTCCATCTTATATAGTGTATAGAATAGATCAAAGCACAAATTGAAAATCATGCAAAGCTGAAAATTCTATGATTTGAAGGTAAAACTGCACTGAGATAAATAGGTATAATATATTTCTGTGCTGTTCTCTATCTAAATAAAAATGCTGGACTTCTGTGTTGAAACAATTTCATGTGAGAAAAAAAGTAAAGCAAATTGTACACAATAAAAGTGAAAGATGCATTGCAGTCTGAAAGGATTTTTTTAAAAAATCAAGGCAGAGCTGGGTTTTGTGGATCCTATCTGTAATACCTACACTAGGGAGGCTGAGGCATGAGGATCATTGTCAGTTCAAGACCAGCCTGGGCTACAAAGTGAGCCAAAGGCCAGCATGAACTGGATAGTGAGACTTGGTTTCAAAAGTAAAAAAAGGATAAAGAAGTTATGACAGAGAAAACGAATAGAATTAAATGTGAATCAGGTAACAAAAACAGCAACCCTCAGTACAATTAATCAAGAAGAAAGAGAAAAAATTGAGATCTAGCATAATAACAGGACAGAAAATTGTCCATTGGTACAGTTACATACAAAACTTTTCCTATGAAAATAGAAGTAATTTCACATCAATCTAAGTCTTGAAATCTATATGAACAGATGGAGACTTAGCAAAACAACCCTAAGAACTAATTAAATATCTCCATAGTGCTAATATCTCCACAGAACCATGTCTGTTGTAAGTTAGGTGTCTATGGTCTAATATTTCACTCTAAATTTTTGTTGATTACTTATATTAGCAGTGAAGTTTACATGCATTCAAACACCTAGTAATACTGACCTCATTCTTTCAGATAGAGGAAAATCAATCTGTTTTAAGGAAGGATCTCATTGATGTTACTCAGTTGAAAGTGCACATAGGAGAGACAAAGCTCACAGTCCGTTTTCCTTTTAAACTACATTCACATAGTCTGTTCCCTATTGAGCTGTGTACTCCAGGGACAGTACACCATAAGCAAACTCAGGTCATAAAATTATAATCAAATGTGCTAGATCCTGGACAAAGAAAAGCAATGCTGCCAAGTGGAGACAATGTGATAAAACTGTACATCACTGTGATTTACAAAGAAGCGAGAAGAGTGTTGCCTACTGAAGGAGGAGTAGGAGAAGTCTCTGTCACCAAGAATGATCTCTATATTATCCTACAGCACACTTTAAAATTTGTGTCTTTTTTTTTTTTTTTGGTACTTGGGATTGAACTCAGGGCCCTGAACTTTCCAGGCAAGCACTTCTACTGAGCTGTCTCCCCGGCCCGTGTTTCATTTTTAAAAGCAAGAATGTGATAAGACATTTCTGCATCATAATGCTGCCAGACATAACCCTCTACGTCATGGTCAAGGTAATGAAGAAAGCGCCCCAAAATAAAAATATATTAGAAAGGGATAAACATAAATGATTAGATTTTTCCAGGGATATAGTTTTCTTTTTATTTTTTTCCACTTTCCGTGTTTCTTTTTTTTTTTTGAAAATTTTATTTTATTTTATTTTTTCCCATAATTTTATTGATAAATAGCAATGAGACAGTTTCAAATCAAATCAGTAGGACAGTTTCAATCATTAACACACTGCATAAGTTCTTCCAAGTTGTCTTTTAGAATTTTTCATTGCTGTACAAGAGGCGGACTTGATATCCTATTTACAAACACCATTAGAACAAATCATTCAATTCATTAAGAGAATGTAACTATATATCTATCCTAACCACTTTCAATATACAGATAGAAAATATACATTCATCTATATACCCTTTTTTGTTAAGTTTTGATTTTGAATATTATAGGTGTGTAAACTCAGCAAAATTCTAAAAGAATCCAAACCGTTGTGAGTGAATCAAAATTATATTTGGCTTCATGGTTATGGAATACAAGACTGTTAAAAAAGACTGATAACCTGTTTCCATACCTCAGTCATAAGGCACTCATAGATAAAATTTTGAAAGCTGATGTTTGTAATATTTAAAAGCATTAAATAGGTAATGATATATCCTATAATTATTTTAAAACATACCAAAATCAAACTACTAAAATACACCGTTCACAATAAAAACTAATAAAGTGGTTGCATATAACACATTCATAGGTGCAGAGACTAAAGAACGCAACTACTTCTCATTCAATATGCTTCCTCATATGCATCTTGCTGTAATTTAAGAATTGTGTTGGCTTCCTAATCATTCATAAAGATTTGATTTAAATCAAATAAAAGTAGGTGAAGTAATTAATCAATGTAAATCATTCTTTGTAAAAATACAAAGTTTTTATGAATATGCCAGATTTAAAAAGCATGCACAAATAATGATCAATATTATGTAGGAGCTATTCTGTGTACACCATCCTTTTATTTTATGTCTAGAAAAAAAAAGGGAAAAGTAAGCTGTAGAGATGCATGCCTGGGAACAGGGCTCTGAAAGGCTGAGGCAAGAAGATGGTGTTGAAACATACCCTGAGGAAGTAGTAACTTAAGGAGACATTTTCTCAAAATAAAATTTAAAATGGTTGGGATTATATCTCTGTGGAAGGTATCTGAGTTCAATCCTACAGACTGAAAACGAAAGAGAAATAAAAACCAAAGAAAAACAAAAAAAAATGAATATTGGCAAAGTAGTTCAAGTCCAATGAGTTTCTGGTGATGGGTTTGTGAATAAATAAAAAATAAACAAAGTTATGTAGGCAAGTTATGCTTTTAATCTTGCTAGATATGGAACAGTGTGTGAAGTGTCCAGATGCTCAGTATGCCAACACTCGGAGAAACCACTGCTTGGGAAAAACTGTGACTTTTCTGGCTTATGATGACCCCATAGGGAAGGTTCTGGCTGGCACTGCCCTGAGTCTCACTGTCCTCACAGCTTTGGTGCTTGCCATCTTTCTGAAGCACCAAGACACTCCCATTGTCAAGGCTAACAACCGGGCCCTGAGTTACACCCTGCTCATCTCCCTCACCTGCTGTTTCCTCTGCTCCTTGTTCTTCATTGGCAAGCCCAAGCCAGCCACTTGCATCTTCCAGCAAACCACGTTTGCAGTTGTGTTCATTGTGGCTGTTGCCACTGTCTTGGCCAAAACTATGACTGTAGTTCTGGCCTTTAAGGTCACTGGTCCAAGCAGGAGAATGAGGCAGTTGCTGGTGTCAGGGGCACCAAACTCCATCATCCCCATCTGCTCCCTGATCCAAATCACTCTCTGTGGCATCTGGATGGGGACAAATCCACCCTACATAGACACAGATGCACACTCTGAACACAGCCACATCATCATCGTGTGCAACAAGGGCTCCCTCACTGCCTTCTACTGTGTCCTGGGATACCTGGGCTCCCTGGCCCATGGTGAGCTCACTGTGGCTTTCCTGGCCAGGAACCTGCATGACACCTTCAATGAAGCCAAGTTCCTGACCTTCAGCATGTTGGTGTTCTGCAGCGTGTGGGTCACCTTCCTGCCCGTGTACCACAGCAGCAAGGGGAAGGCCATGGTGGTCATGGAAGTCTTCTCCGTCTTGGCCTCCAGTGCAGGGCTGCTGGGCTGCATCTTTGCTCCCAAGTGCTACATTATTCTTTTAAGACCAGAGAGAAATTCTCTTTCTGGTTTCAAAAGTAAAACACATTCTGGAAGAGAAAAGTCTTCTTAAATTATCCAGTCTTATATTTGACACTGTGTGCTATTTACTACAATAAAGGACTATCATTTATTTCTTTAAATGCCTTACACTTAAATTGTCCATAACTATAAATTTTCAATTAAAATTTTATTCTACTTTGTTTACTTATTCCACAATGAATCTTACTATTTATGTTAATATAGTATTCTCTTTTTTTTGTTTTCCTCTTGAGTTTCGCAGCACTACAATCAATTTTGATACACTAACTTTATTCTTCAGATAAGTTAATTCTGAATCCCCTAACCTATCCAGAATTTCTCTCACATTAGTCTTTAATTTTCCAGAAATTGCTGTTAATATGTCCTAACAATTATTGTCGACTTTAAGATGGTATAGTATTAAATGCAGACTTTAACTTTGGTCTCAACTTGTTAATGTGCAGTAGCCATATTTCCTATGTAGAATTTTTGAATCTCTCCATGTACCTTGTTTAATAATCCTTTGTTAATATGAATCAGGTATCTGTGTATATAGGTTTTGTATTGTACACAATTTATATATAAATGAGTGGGGAAAGGAAACCACTCTGTCTGGCTGCATTCACTTTGGAGTGGAGAATGGGGATTTTATAGGGAGGGAGGACACTTCTGTAAACTTTCCCAGGCCCTTGTGGTGCAAGGAGGAGCAAAGAGGAGGAAAGGGAAAGGCCAGCCTTCTCCTGGTTGAAACACACGGCCCCTTCACCTGGGATGAAAGTGAATCTGATTCTTCTACTACAATTGATTCACAGAGGTTGTGTGTCACCTTAAGTACCTTAAATATTCCTGTACAAAATGAGCCTTGTAACGACATGTGAATTCTATTTTATAGAGATGTCTGATACCTGCCATTTTCCTGGTTACCATACATTATGTCCCATGCATTTGTCACGAGAACCTATTTTGTTTTCGTAGTATTTTTTCTTTGAAAACAACAACAGGGGCTGGGGAGATGGCTCAGTAAAATAAGCACTTTCCTGGCAAGCTCAAGGGCCTGAGTTCAATCAATCCCTGATTCCATTAAAAAAAAAAAAGAAAAAAAACAAGAACGCATATATATGCCTACTGCAAGAGAAATCCATTCTTTAATTATATCAAGTATAATAATGAAGTTTTATTTTAAGGAAGGAAATTTCTGCAAAATTCATAATAAACTCTGGGCATCAGGCCATCTCAGTAAAAGACTATGAGCCTGAGACAGGGAGCTAAACAGGCTTTCCCCATTCAGCACCATGCAGGGTGCCAGATCTGGAACCAGAGACAGAAAAGAAACTGAAAAAAATAGGAGTCATAGAACTCCAACTGTAGATATGCACAAATAACATCAGTGCAAACTTCAAAATAGGACAGTATTTAGTTTTCAGAACACCATTCAAGTAACCCCTTCCAGAAATTGGGTAAACACATACAGCACTGAATATACTAAAATCAACCTTCGCTCTTTATTAGTAACTTAATCACAACTGCTGAAAGCCTCTTCTGTAGAAAGGGGTAGAGGGAGAATCAAACACCTTTGCACTCTTCTGAGAGTCCCAAGAAGAATGCACTAGGTCTGGGTGATCAGAGATCCGGATCACAGATGCTTAAATCCTCACAGGTGTGCCATTAACAGCCATGAACATCCCGGCAGGGAGAAACTGCTCAAGCGCAGTGGCACAGCGCCCACAACGCCCCGACCTCTCCTCCCATTGGCCAGCACGCCGCGAGCTCCAATTGCACATGCGCAGTGGTTAGGGGGCTAGGTGACTTAGGCTGCGCCCCTCCTAGGTGACGCTGAGGCAGTGCATGATTTTGATTCAAGCTGCGGTTCTGGGATTTCTTTAGGTCAGGGAGGCAGCTCTATGGTACTGCCCTGGGGGAGGAAGGTGAGGGATGTGCACAGCAGAGAAGGAGCTGAGGAAGAGAAGAACAGGATCCGAATCCAGAAGGTCAGCCCCCAGATGGGTGGTCAAGAAGGGCTGCAGATAGAAACTGCTATGGCAGAAGCAAAGGGAGCAGCAATTAGGAGGATGGGCAGGGCCTCCTGATTGACTGAAGATAGCCCAATGTGAGGATAGAGGCTGGTCATAGAGGGCGGAGCCTTCGGAATATGGCCTGGTATTTAGGACCCTAATAACAACTCCTGGGCAGCTGGGCTTAAATTGGGGAACCTGTGTCTAGGTTCGCAAATTTCCTCCCTGGAGCCTGCAGGCCACAGCTCCCGGGTGGAGTTCCTGGAGAAATGGGCAGGTGATCCTTCTTGTGTGCACATTGTTCCCTGTAGAGATCTGAGAAGAGGACAGGTGTTGTCTTCAGCAGGGCTGAGTGAATCTACTGCTGTGAGATTTAATCTCCACCTTGTTAAGTGCAGCTGACCTGAGCTGCTTCTGGAATAGTAGTAAGCTTCATTGTTACCCTCACTGGAAGGGGAAATGATGGATACTTTTTGTTCTCTCTTCTTTATGCTGTCCCTCTAAAGTTGGATACCTTACACTTTTATTTTGCCTTCCTTACTGTGCAGAGAGGAAGGGTCCAGAAATGTGGTACTCAAGGTCCTGAGAGTAGCAGAGACTTTCACCTCCTGGGCTCACCCACCTGCTGTGATCAAGTCCTTTTGCTAAGTCTCAGCTCCTTCACCTGTGAAGAAACTGATGGAACTACAAACAACCCAAGAGTGTTGCCACTAAGTATTGACACTTGAACTGGATATTCAAGTCAGGACACTAGTTAAGACACAGCTGTGAAGAGCAGAATCCTCTGAAGAGCACAAACCAGCCAGCCACACACACCCCATGTGCAGCTGGCTATTCATCTGAATTTTATTAAGTGCCCTGGAGTTGCTAAAACCCTTGTCCTGAGACCTAAAAGAAGAGAAGAGCAAAAGAAAACGGATTCCTCCTTGATGTGGTTTATTTTCCCCCAGTGGGGAAGAACTAGAAATAAAATAGGATCAGATAATACTAAAAGTTATGAATAAATGAAGTGCAGGGTCATGTGATAAAGATGTGATATATTAAAGTACTTGTGCAAGGGGTGTTTGTGTGTGTGTGTGTGTGTGTGGATGTGTGTGTCTGTATGTGTGTTTGCATCCACTGGACACTGGCAGGTGGTCAAATTGGGGGTGTGGGTGACCTGAGTCCTGGATATTGGGTCATCATTTCTAATGAGGGGAGCCAAGGATTACAAGGACAGGCTGATGAGGTCGGCTCAGGGCCTGGCCATAGTGTGTGTAGACTGAGCAGGAAGCTACCTTTAGAGAGAGGAACAGGAAGCACTCATCAGGTTTGTCTTGGGATTGAGAACTAAGAAGCATGGAAAGAATCTTTACCAGACAGAGGTGATTGAAAAGTTGATGTGCAGGCTAAAGAGCTGGGTAATGAGAAAATTCTAGCGGGCAAAGGAAGTCAGATTGGGGCACCACTGGGCATCTGACCGAACAGCACAATGGTCCTCCATGGTGTTTCCTTCCAGGTAAGGCTCCTGGAGCTCTCTTGAAGACTGAGCAAGCTTCTACTTCTCACCAGCCAGATGTCCCATCCGGCCAGTATCATGTGTTCCTCATTTTCCCGTGGTCTCGGTTAATTTTTCAGTATGTGTCATGCCAATAAATCGTTCTTGCACTTCAGCAAGGTCTCTTGCAATCATGTGAACACAATGAAAGCAATGTTAAATATATCTTCTCTGGAGCACTGGTTTTCTTCTTAGCTGTGACTCTGATAAATTATTTACTTTATTCTCTCCCCACCCTCCCCAGTGCATTAGAGAGAAGGTAGTACTTTCTGCAGGCAAGTGCTCTGCTAGCGAGCCTCTGCCCCAGACAGGTTAATCTGTTCTTCACATTATGGTAACATTGATCATATAGAATTTGTGCCTGTATATGATGTAGTTTGATTCATTTCTTCCCCAGTCCCTCTCTTCAACTGCTGTTAGTCACAGAAAATTTGGTTCTGTGTTTTTCTTCAATTTTTTCTTTTTCTTTTCCCACCCCTTTCATTATGTCTCCATCTCATTTGACCATTTGCCTAACTCATACAGTATGGAGTATACATTTTGATCCACATTTACACTTTCACTTTTGCACACCAGAGAAACCATGCAATATTTGAACATGTGTGTCCAATTAACTTCACTTAAGTGTATGGTCTCAAGGTGCATCCATTTACCTAGAAATGGTCAAGCTTACTCTTATTTATGACTCAGTAGTACTATATTGTATTCGAAACAAAGCATATCTTCTGTATCCATTCATCAGTTGATGGGCATTTGGGTTGTTTCCAAGATTCAGATATACATTGTGCTGCTATAAACATAGAAGAGCATATACTGAAGAAATAAGATGCCTTTAATTCTTTGGGGGAAGATACCAATCATGGGAATAGCTGGGAGAAATGGAACAAGCAGTCCTATCATTTGAGAAATCTCCACACTGAGTTCCTCAGTGGATGCACCGGTCTGCACTTGCATCAACAGAAGACAAGGGTTATTTTTTATCCACAGCCATGTCAGCAGTTGTTATTCATTCTGTTCTTGTTAATCTCCATTCTTTGTGGAATGAAATTGAATCTCAGTGGTGTATTCAATTGCAGCTCTTGAATGAACAGTTTTATTGAACAATTTTTTCAAGTATTTATTTGCTGTTTCTTCTAGAGATACCCATTTTTGGATTGCATCTTTACATTTGAAGGGTCTGATTTTATTAAGTTCTTTATACATTGTAGATATTAGTCCTTTATCTGAAAACGATCTGGTAAAACATTTTCCCACAGTGGGTTGTCTGTTGGTGGTTTCTTTTCCTGTGAAAACATGTTTTACTATGATGCGACTACAATTGCTGATTTTATTGTGATATTTTCTGTGTGATTAGGTTTCTGTTCATAAAGTTTTTGCCTACACTTAGGTCTTCAAGAGTTCAACCTGTTTCTTTTAACAGATTTAGTTTAGTGTTTCTCTTTCATGGTGTATATTTCTGACCTATTTAATTTTATTGTGAGACACATGGGTCTATTTTTAGGA